GTGAATCACACGTGTGTGTTAACTTCCAGACAAAGGCCAGGGGTAACCAAAGGGGTTAGTATCTCAACCTGGGATAGTTATCCATGTGAGTGGAGGCTCTGGCAGAGGAGGGCAAGTGTGAAGCCTCAACTAAAATAGAATTGGGATGTGAAGCAGGAAAAGGCCCAAACTGGAGAAGGTGACCTCCAGGAAAGTGCCCCAGCAGGAAGATGAAGTTGAGGGAAAGGACCATCATCCAGTCTTAAGCACAAGGACTATAGGCATGCACCACTGTGCCAGGGAAAGAACAAGGTATGTGTGTGAAGATAGTTTAAGACCATGAAGATGGTTGTCTTCAAACTTTTTTTCCTCCAGGTATACTATTTCACATGTAAACACTTTTCTTTCTATCTGTCGCAGACGAGATTAAAACAGCAACAACAAACAAACAAACAAACAAACAAACAAAAAACCCCTAAAACCAACATGTTGTTATATACTTAGATTTTTTGACAGGTTTTTTTCCTTCTTTCCTTCCTACTTTCCTCTCTCTCTCTCCTACACTTCTATATCCTTTTCCCCCCATTATACTTTTTTTTTTTTTTTTTACTTTTTTTAATTTTTGAGATAGCGTTTCTAGCTCAGACTGGCCTGAAACTCACTATATTCCCCAATGATGACTTGAATTCCTGCTGGGATTACAGGAGTGTTCCACTAGATACGGTTTATGCAGTGTTGGAGATTGATCTCAGGGTCTCACACATGCTAGGCAAAGCATTGTGCTATCTCAGCTACACCCTCAGGGTTTCTGTTTCACCCTTTTTGTATTTTTTCTTTTTATTTTCTGTGACATAATCATGGTATTGTCTAGACTGGCTTGAACTCCCAAGCTCAAAGTAATTCTTCTGCCTCTGCCTCTTCAGTAAGTGGGACTATAGGCCTAAACCACTGCACCTGGGATTGTTATTGTTATTTTATTTATTATTAGTGTGTTTGCTCCTCACAGGCAGTTCCTTCCCAGGAGGGAGGGCCAGGGGCTATGCTTGGTACATGATAAAGCTAAGGTTCAGAGAGAGAGAGTGTGTGTGGGTTACTTGGACAAGGTCCTAGAGCTAATGGGTGTCAGAGAGAGGTTCACATTTAGGCAGTATGGGGTAAAAGTGGGTGTATTGCTTGCCATGACTCTCCCAGGCAGATGTGGGCCCAGCACTGAGGAAAGGGTATAGTACCTGCCTCTGGTAAATGAAGCAGGGGAATGGCTATAGGAACTTTCTGGGAAGAGGTTCATCCTGATGGCTGCTTCCATTCCTTTTCCTTCTTTCTCCTCATCTTCCTCTTCTTCTGTCTTCCCTTTTCTGTTGATTGACAATATTTGATTTTCTAATAAAGAAATCTTTCTGCCCAAGAAAGAATCTTTTAAATATAGAGTTGGAAATATACTGCTGTCTCTGTGACAGCTTACAACAAATGCAGTAGAGGTACAGCCACTCTCCCCAAAGGTAAACTGGCTTGGGAATTTTCTGTTGGCTTTCTTCTTATTTTTAAATTTTATTTATTTACTCAGGGACCAAGTAATACATCCACATGGTTAAAAAATCATAAGGTACAAAAAGAAACAGTACAAATCTACCTCACTTCCCCAGCCATTTGCCACTTGGTTTCACTGCCTGGAGGCAACTGAAGTGTCCCAGTTTCTTGTGTATTTTTTCAAAGATGTTTTATGCAAATACATGCATACCCAATATATATGTTCTTTTTCTTCAATGGTAGGGATTGACTGCAGGGTTTCACACACATATATTCTTTTTAAGATGGCTATTTTTCTTAACCCTCAAGTTATAGGCACAGCGTAAAGTTTTCTTATAGACTTTCTGGCCCTGGTGTGTGCCTGGGGCTGGTAGAATCCCCCATATGCAAAACATTTAAGCTTTTTAAGACAGGCTCTCATATAACCCAAGCTGGCCTTGAACTCCTGCTTCTACCTCTCAAGTGCTAGACTTATAGGCATGTGCCACCACATAGTTTTCTTAAGCTCTTTTTAGATGACTTTGTTAAGTCAGTAGCCCCACAAAAGAGCCCATGAAGTACAGAAATCATCTACCCTGCTTTCCACACAAGGAAACAGACCCAGCAAGGCCAGGCACCTTGCTGAAAAGCACATGACTAATTCGTGCATGTGAGGACCTAGGAGTGGTGTGTGTCTTGATCCAACTTGGGCTTTGTAATCAATAAGAAAGTTGTTTACTCCAAAGTCACAAAGTTAAAAAAAAAAAACATTCTGTTGACACTAGTGTGGGGCTGTGGAAAAAGGAAGCTTACAGTGCTGGTTATGGTTGCTCTCTCCCACTCACTATTGGGCAAGTTACTTCAGTTTGAAAACTCAGTTTCCTCATCTCTAAAATGGGTATAATACCTATCCAGTAGGAAAGATGACATAGTTTAAGTAGAAATGACATGTAAAAAGGGGTGCATTCCAATGTTTGCTTCATGGTAGTCACCAGAGTCATTGGACTTGAACTTAATACTCCAGTGGGTAGGTAGACAGCAGCCTTTGGCTGAAGGGAGGGCATGCTCACACCACCACACATTTACCTTTCTCTGGAGCCCATTTCTCCTGGGGCTGTGCTCAGAGCCTCCTGGGCAGCGAGAACAGCCCGGAGGGTGGGTACATGTCTGCACAGCGGGAGGCTCCAGCTGACTTTGATCTTTATTTCATGGAATGAGATAAAGAGCATTTATACAATTTTCAGGATTTATTGTGACAATTTTATACATGTGCATAATTCATTTTTTTATCAGTCACCCCCTTTATCCTCTCGTACTCCCCACCTCCCCCAGCTGCACCCCCTTCTTCCAAACAAGCTTCTCCCTACCCTCATGCCTTCTTTTGGTGACTGAGTTTAGTTAGTGTTGCTCAAACAAGCAATTCATTTTTTTAGCTTATTACTTTATTTGTGGGACTAGGGGTGGAGCCCAGGGTCTGTCTCATGGAGAGCAGGCAGGCAGGCAGGCACTCTACATAGAGCTATATACCCCAGCCTATTTTTCCATTGTAAAAATAAAATGTGATTCACTAGAGAAAATATGAAAACAAAACAAAACAAAATCCAAAAACCGAAAACAAACCCTAGGGGAAAAAAAAAAAAAGCTCAAAAGCAAATCACCTTATAATTTCCTAGTCCTTGAAAGTCCATCTCATTTCACGTTCCTTGCAGTCATTACTGCCCTCATGCCTTTATAATTCTGGACAGAGCGGTTCCTAACCTGCTGTGCTGGTTGTGTTAATGCTGCCTCTGCTTCTGGGTATTTCTATTTTATTTTGTACATTTAAAAAGTATTTCCTGGTTTTTTATCTCATTTTTTGCCTAATGTTTCTTTTTTCTTCCCTCTCCTTTGTCCTCTCTTGACTCTCCTTTCCCATTTCTGAAGTGCTAGGGGACAGCACCCAGGGCTGTGTACATCCTGGGCAAATTCCCTTCCACTGAACTGCACTCCAGGCCAGTATATCCTATAGGAATGCAATGAACAGCAATCTGGAGGCTCCTGCACTGGTGCCCTCTGAGGCCTGGCCCAAGGTCATCAGCTCAGTAGCTTTTCTGGATCCTGTTGGGGCAGAACTGAAGCGAAGCTAGTTCTCAGGCAGTGCCAGCTTGGCTAGGAGAAGGGGGTCCCATAACAGAAGGCTCCCTGGGACCCCCAGCACCTTCTGCAACTCTTTCCATATGAGAGGAATATCCTTGACCAGGGCTATTCCCACTGAAAGGCCACAGGGCACTAGCTAGTCATTGTTCTTACCAGGTGGCTGCCTCTCAGGGCTGAAACCTTCACAGAGACTCTGGAGGTAGATTCCCTTGAAAGAACTGGAGTTTACTCTTAGTTGGATAAGCAAACTGTTGAGAGGGCAAACCTTGGCACCTGCCCATTCAGAGCTTCCCTACTTTTCACTTCTTTGAATTCCCCATTCTTTTCAGGGTAAGCCAAACTGCCTTAAGCCCAGGCATGTATAATTAGAATAGTGGGCATTTGAAGTAACTGGTACTTCTAGTCCACCAGACACCCTCAGTGTTTAATAAAAGCATGGCTATTCCCAGCTCAGGACACACTCAAGGCTTTCTCACTCCCTTCTGTGGAATGCTCTTGCTTGCATGGGGAAATTTAAGTTAAATATCCCTTCAGACATGCTGCTGGGGCCTTTTGGGCAGTGCCAGTTGCTCTTAATTCAGTGATCCACAGCTTTGTGCATATATTTGCTTTTTCTTCCCCTTGCCCAAGCCAGGACTAGTCTGTGCCCGTGTCTCTTAAATTGTCACAGTGGTTGAAAGAACTTAATAAATATGTGGCCAACCAGGGTATAAGATCATGCTGAATGGTTACCTTTTCCCCATCACCATTTTGCCATCCTCCCAGGTTATATCAGCCAACTCTCATGTGTATCCACTGTCTACACCTGAGTTGGAAGTATCCTGTCTACCTATGGAAATGCCCTTTGAGACCTGACCTGCCTACCCCTGAATCCTTATCAGAGCAAACTCCTTCTCAGAGTGCAAGAGGCCCCATTTCACGGACATGTTGTCTATAACCCTGCAACCTTCTTTTCGTGGACAGGCCCCAGTCCATGCCAGATTTTATCATCTAGGCTGGGGACGCACTAGTTTCCCAGTAGGATACAAAATTTAGAGTGAGAGTCCCAGGCTGGCAAGAGCAGAGGGGCCATTTCTGGCCTTTGGGGACAGGAAAAGTTCAAAACTGTGTGCTGTTACTGACAGTTACAGTGAGAACAATAGGACGGTTAGGTTTTTGAACTTTTTATTAAGAACAACATGAGTGCATAATACTAAAACAAAAGTGGTAGACTATTCAACGCCCAGTCTGCTGATATCCCTCCCCCACAAGGTTCTACCTAAATGGCCCTGAGGTCCAAACCTGCCTGTCCACTGCCCCTCCCCCAACCACAATCTCCTGCAGCTTCTGACTTGTCCCCTTTTGTGAAGATAAAATTCTCCCCCTCAACTTGCTTAAAAACAATTTTGAAAGATTAAAAACAACATTTTTGTGTGTGTTTTAAAATAAACACTTTAAACACTGAATATCTTCCTCTTCCCCCTAGGCCTGGCTCTGGGGTGCCTGCCTCCTTACCCTAGGAGGCCAGCTGCCACTTGGTGCCCCTTGGAAATTTTCAGGAAGTAATTTCTTCCAAATTTCCCCTGCAGTCACAAATTCCACAAACTGCTTGCATCAACACACTGTCTTCATTACAGGCACTGCTTCCCAGCTCTGGAAACCTGATCTCTTTTTGTCAACTAGACCACATGCTTCAGATTCCCTACAAAAAGGAGAGAAAACAGAATTTAGATTCAGGTAACATATGAATTACATATCTCAATGGAGCTGTGAAGAAGAAAATAAGTATTTGCATTTGGGGGCCAGTTCTCCTGCTGAAAATGAGAATGTGGCGACCTTTTTTTTTTTTTTTTTTTTTTTTTAATGTAAGCCCTAAATGATGAGGGACAAAAGGCCTAGATACCGCTGTTATCCTAGAAAGCATTATACAGGTCAGCCAAGTTTTTGACCACCAGCTGACTGTTGATACAGGGTGGGTCCAGGCCAAACCAGAAGAACCATGCTCTGGATCCCAGCTCTATCACCATTCTAGAGTTATGAACAAATGGTAAATGGTTGTTTCTCTCTCTCTCTCTCTCTCTCTCTCTCTCTCTCTCTCTCTCTCTCTCT